TTTCTTTCTTTCTTTCTTTCTTTCTTTCTTTCTTTCTTTCTTTCTTTCTTTCTTTCTTTCTTTCTTTCTTTCTTTCTTTCATCCAAAATGTGTTTATTGGGATGGTTCCCACTCATCTTGAATCAGGTGCTTTTCAGTGCTGCTTCCTCCTGAAGGAGCATCCTTCTGTCAGCCTTGCTTTTCCGCTTGTGGGCTGACAGAGGACAGTGGAGCAGCCAACACACAAGACTACCGTTTGTGCATGGCTGAAGACTGTGGTGATCTTATAGCATCCTGGGCATTTCACGTCCATAAAGTAGGAATTGGGACTCTGCACCATGCGCTTTTTCTTGTGTTTCCTCTTTTCCTCTTCTGGAGAGGGATGATGGAGATCCTTTGAGAGAGGCATGTTCTCGTAGGGAGGTCATCACCGCTGGAAAGGCACCTAGTGTTTCTTGTCCCTACTGGGACTGGAGAATCAGAGGGCAGGTCCAGCATGGAGCATTTTTACCACTGGGGCCTTGCTGGCCTTACAGCTATGTGTTCATGCTTTGGATTCCTCTGCAGCTCTGATTACATGCAGATTCCATGTCGCAGAAAAACTGGCCATCCCCATCACCCTTCAGAGAGCAGACATAAGCAGTGGACTGTGTGCCCGGAAATCCATTTGAGTCGGCACCAAACAATACCATGAAACATCCCTTCCTACTGGCTTATTTGCTTTCTTTCTCTCTCCTATTCTTTCTTCTTTTCTGGGAATCAAACCCAGGTGCAACAAGTATTCTTAACCACTGAGTCTGCTCTATAGCCCAAAGTTGTGTGTGTGTGTGTGTGTGTGTGTGTGTGTGTGTGTGTGTGTGCACATGCACAGTCATATTGGGTGCACACATCATATCACATATATATGGAGGTTAGAAGTAAACATTGATCCTCAACTTATGTCTTAAGCCCAAAGTTGTGTGTGTGTGTGTGTGTGTGTGTGTGTGTGTGTGTGCGCGCGCGTGTGCGCGCACACATGCACAGTCATGATGGGTGCACACATCATATCACATATATATGGAGGTTAGAAGTAAACATTGATCCTCAACTTATGTCTTAAGACAGGGTCTCTTGTTCTTTGCCACTGCACATGTTAGGCTAGCTGTCTCCAGGGCCTCTGGATTCTTCTGTCTCCACCTCCCATCTCACAGTAGAGGCACTAGGATCACAGACACAGGACCCACACCTGGCTTTTCCATGTGGAAAAGGTTTTTGTACTTTCATAGAGTGTTTAAGACCTATTGAAAGCCGGGCGGTGGTGGCGCACGCCTTTAATCCCAGCACTCGGGAGGCAGAGGCTGGTGGATCTCTGTGAGTTCGAGACCAGCCTGGGCTACCAAGTGAGTTCCAGGAAAGGCACAAAGCTACACAGGGAAACCCTGTCTTGAAAAACCAAAAACCAAAAA